CACGCACGCACGCACGCACGCACGCACGCACGCACGCACGCACGCACGCACGCACGCACGCACGCACGCACGCACGCACGCACGCACGCACGCGCGCACACACACAGAGTCTAAACGGTGAGAATTATTATGAAATAGATCTCTCTCCGCGAGAGGTTCCCTCGAAACAAAAGGAGCCTATATTATTAAAACTAATGCATCAATTAACTAATGTACACGAATCTACCAGTTTCCAAATGTTTCGAGATAAATATAATAATTACATAACAGCATAGGTTGATTAGCCATCGCCTCCTATTATATATAGAGAGAATTTTATAGTAAAAATTACTATATAGTATTTTGCAATCGAGAAACAGATCGACATTCTGTAGCAATTATTTATTGTGTTTTCATTTTATATGTGTTATTTATATTCTAGGAATTAAAATGTGCTATGAAAAAATTTGCTATATTTCTAACGAAATTTACTGTGTTTCTTAGCAAGATGGACCTTACGAACAATTGATTCTTGCATTAGGAACATGGAAAAAATGGATATAAATTGAAAAAAATTGATATGAGAAAAAGAATTATAACATTCTCTCCGTATGTTAGTTTCTTACTCTAAAATAAATATCTTACATTCATGCTTATAATCTTATCATCTCAAAGCTACAAGGTCAATGTGCAAAAATAGCGCATTCTTGTTTATTTAGATTATCCGGAGATATAATGTTTTTATAACATTCGCGATTATATCAAAAAAAAGACGAGGAAAGATTTTAACAGTAAATTAAAATTATTTCACCAATTTGTGACACTAAATTAAGTTAATTCATCATTTCTTAATAATTAGAGTCAGTAGTTACAGTAATAAAAGTTATAGTAGTTAGAGTAATAAGAGAAATTGATGTATGCTATCATCAGTTTTTCAACAATGATTCGACCGATGATCTTATTAATTTTCAGTAAATAAGAAACTCCGCTTTGAAGACAACGTTCGCTGACATTTTCTGCAATATACGTGAATATAATGACCTCTCCATTCGTGAAATTCACAAAAATATCGTTAAATTGAAGATACCGAGTGCGTAAGGTCGCGTGCGTCGTTCAAAGAGAACATAAGAGAACGTAAAAGAACATGATATATTATTTCGTTCCAACTTTCATTCCCTCCACCCTGTCTCCTCGTAGTCCTAAAAGACCACAGCCATTCGATATTTCTTCGAGAAACACAAATGCGAGAAATCTGGGTTAATACGTTGCCTTCGAACGCACGCAAGTCCGGATATCAAATCCGCTTAAAAACGCAAACTACCGCGAAGCAAGACAAATAGGTGAATTTATTTCCGTCGACGACGCTCGCAAATGTGCAAATGTGCAAATCGCCGAATCGCGTGCCGCTACCCTTCGCACCCCGTTCGCCCTTTCGTTCGTGAACGCCACCCTTGATTTCTTTTCTCAATAGCTAACTCGCCACGCTTGCAGCCTCGACCTTTGCGGGGCGTCTCGAGGTTGGTATCCTCTTCGGGATACTCCAATCAAGTTTTAGGAGTAATCGGAATCAATAATCAGAGAATCTTGAGTATTAGATCAATTAATACACATGTATACTTAAATTAGCAGTGAAATATTGAATAAGTTAGCCCAAGTTAGTACAGAGAATTAAAAAAGTATTCATGAGACATTTCATTTTTATGTCACCAATTTTGAATTCTTTTTCAGATCAAAAAGAATTCTTTTTATAAAAAGAACTTAGAGCTTTTTTTCTGAAAAAGAGAATTTAGAGTTGGTGACATAAACATGAATTCTTT